CTATACAAGAGACAAAATAGAATTAAACTTGGCAACACACAACATTAATGGGCTTAAAAGCAATAATCAAAAAGTGGAGGCACTCTATGCATGGACATTAGACAACAATATTGATATATTAGGGTTAGCAGAGACGAACATTACAGCAAAAGAAGGAAACTTTTTAACGAAAAGTTGGAATGAGTATAAAAATTTTTGGGCAAGTGCAGACCCAAATAAGAAAAAAGGTTCAGGTGTAGGTTTGCTAATCGGCAAACAGTGGGAAAAACACTTAGGTCAAATAGATAGAATAAGTGAATATATGATTACAGCCAATTTTATGTTCAAGCAGGCAGAAATCTTAGTAGTCATGGTATATATTCCACCAAACAACAAAATAGAAAGATCGATTATTCAAAAAGCATTAGTAGAAAAATATATAAAACGATCATCAAGAACGCAGATGATTATTATGGGAGACCTGAACTGCATAGTAGATGCAAACCTGGACAGATTACAAAAGTCTAAACAAAAATCTAAAAAGCAAGACCCATTAATCAGGTGGCTATCAAGACAAGAGTTTCAAGATGCTTATAGAGTAATCAACCCAAATGAGAGAAAGTTCTCATGGTCGGGCAGAGAACAAGAAACAAGAATTGACTATATATGGGTGGCAGAAGATCTTGCTAGCAGTCTATTAGATGCAGAAATTCAAGAGATGGATATCTGGACAAATAGTGACCATGGAGCAATGGTAGCAAGAATAAACCTAGACCATCTTCCTAACTGTGTGAGTGTTTTGCCTAGTTTCGATTCTCTTGCTCCTTTTTTTTTGTTTTCTACTGTATTTAGAACTCGTTTTTTAGGCAATGTTTTTCTTGCTGCCAACCAAATTGCATTGCTTATAATGTCCCACCATCTGTCTAGCCTTTTGTCTTTTTCATCTGATATTCCTCTTTCTGACGTTTGTTGCAATTCTAATAAACTAATCTTCTTTTTAAGTTGCGCTTCAAGTTCATTTCTATAATTGTCCCAATCTTCTTTTCTTGTTGGTT